CTCTTTAAATAGTAAGTGTTTAATAAATGCGTGTTGGGTAAATAAGTGAAGGATAAAGACCTCTCTTAACTTTGAACCCTCAGTTTCCATTGAACTAACTGTGATAGTTAATTAATACCTAGTCAGGATGTGTATTGAGCATCGGGATGGGTTAAGTCTCTTTATTTTGATGCTTTTGGGAGCTTTGCTGACACTGGAAGCTTCTGTCCTTCATGTGAGTATGTGTGCTCAGTCGCTTCAGTCGTATCCAACTGTGACCGCCATCAACTGTAGCCTACCAGGCTCCTCTGTCCACAGGGATCCTCCAGGCAAGAATACCAGCGTGTGTTGCCATTTCCTTCTCCATCTATCCTTCCCAGGGTTAGCAAATCCCTACCAATAGCAAAAAATTTCCTGGAAGTGCAGGAAGTGCAAACCAACCAACTCCAGATTATATCCCAACCATCTGCTTTATTGGGTGCTCACAGGACTCAGCTTTGGGCCACTGTTCCCTTGTCCTAATCCCCCCAGGGCTATGTACCTGACAACTAAGGACAGCCCCAGTGCCCCCAGAGTCAACTGAAATCATTCAAGCTAGCCAACCTTAAACCTGCTTACCTTAAAAAAAAAAAAAAAACCCTGCTTACCTTTATTCCTTCCTGTGAAAACCATAATAAAGGCTCTTGCCCACATTTTCCCCTCAATTCCTCCACTCCCTCATCAACCCTTCTGCTTCCCCACATGGCCCTGTTTGGCAAAATGTACCCCTTTGGGAACTGTGAACAACACAGTTGTTCACAATGGCAATCACCTCCTCCTGTGCTGGCCTCATTGTATTTGAATAATAATAAAACCTACATCATAAAACTTCCCTGGTGGCTCAGGGTAAAGAAATTTGCCTGCAGTGCAGGAGATGCTGGAGACGCAGGAGATATGTGTTCGATCCCTGAGTAGGGAAGATCCCGTGGAGGAAGGCATGGCAACCTACTTCAGTATTCTTGTCAGAAGAATCCCATGGACAGAGGAGCCTAGCAGGCTACAGTCCATGGGGTCGCAAAGAGTTGGACATGACTGAAGTGATTGAGCATGTATGCACATCTTAAAACAGATACTAAAGTTGACAGTGACTAAGATGATGGGTGAAACATTGTGCCCATGTGAGGGAACAGTCGGGCTGCAAGATGTAACTGACAGTAGTAGTCAGTAGTACCTGTCAAGATACCTGAGACAGTATCTGAGAAGGACATGACTCTTCTATAAGGTAGCTGCCTTGATATCCTTGGGATGCCAGGCTGGCGTGGACTTGGGAACACAAGAGGGAGGGATCAAGGTTGTCTGAGGTTCCAAGGCAGGGGTTTGGTTACAAATCATTCCCATTCTATTAGCTGGTTCAGAGTAGAACTGGCCACAAGATGAGGATGTAAAGGTCTGAATTATTGGTCCAGGCACCTCAAATTGCCCAGGAATGAAATTTGCCCTGGAGTGTAAGGTGAACTTGCAGCTGAGAGAGAGGTGAAATATAAAGCAGAGCAGGGAGCTGGACAGTGCTGCTGGAGACCTTTCCTTTTTTTATTTCACAAGTTTCCAGCCTTTTTTGAAGAACTACTGGGAGCTGGGGGACTTAAGGTCTGGTTGATGGGTCTGACCCATTCAGAATCAGAGAACTTCTATTTGAGACACTTAATGTAACAGCAAAGCTTGGTGGGGAAAGTGTGGCAGTGGCAAGTGCAGACAAAGAGCTAGTAAGAGCAAAACTGCTGAGCACTCAGATTGTCTGAGGGAGTCTCTGTGCCATTAACTATAGCCAGGAGCTACCCAAATTCCTGCTGATGTCACCACCAGAAATAAAATCCGACTCCTCCACACTGTTACCTTCACTAACAAAATGTTGTGTCTTATGTGCTGAGGGCACGACCAAGAGCTGGGATGAGAGTGCTGCTGGCTGGATGGGCAGCCAGAAGGGCAGAGCTGGGAGGCAGGGGCTTGGCAGAAGCCAAGGGCTGGGTCACCAACAGGCTCAAACAGGATCCGGGTGAGCTATGGGCATAAAGAGGCATTAGATTAGTAAACCATCAGAGGGAAGCTGGGTTCTCTGGTTTACAAACAGATTCTGAACCAGGGGAGTAGATAAGGCAGAAATGGAGGCTGGAGGACTAGAGACAGCACCAGGAAATTTCCAAATTTCCGGCATAGCTCTCCTTGGGTTAAGTTTTTTCTTTTTTAAAGAGAAACTGGATTAAGTTGAGTTAATCAGGGATGGATCAGGTTTTTTAATTGAAATTTAATTTGAAAATTAATTAATTTTTACAGACAGCTGCACCCACAGGATGGTCTTTCTAGGCCTTCAGGGAACCAGACCTCTCAGGGAAGTGCAGTGCTTGCCTGCATCCTCCCTTCCCCAGAGGCCCATGACAGATGGCAGACTGGGCATTTATGCCTGCCTTTAGCAGAGGGCATTCATTTATGCATCAGGGATCAACTCTGGATTTTTCTTTAGGACCCAGCCTCCTACCTCTGGGGAAAGGAATGAGGGGTGGAATTATATAAAACATAGAAAGTAGTGTAAAGATATGGAATAAGCCACTAACAAGTCCGCTTTTCAAGGATAGTCACCTGTCTTCTGCATCTGTGGAATAGACACAATTACTATGCTGGATTGTAGAATGAGATGAGGGAGAAGCTATTTAACATTTTGATAAGTTTCATTTGATTCTTTTCATTAAGCACTTTAAAATTGGAATCATGTTGTGTATATATATATATATTTTTTCTCACATTTTTCCTTAACAAATATCATGACTATTCTCTTTCTCTCTCTTTTTTTAAGCCCCACCATATGGATGCAGTATCTTAGCTCCCTGACCAGGATGGAACCCAGGCCCCTGCAGTAGAAGCACAGATTCTTAACCACTGCACTGCTAGGGAAGTCCTTACAACTGTTCTCATGGTTACAAATATACTGTGTGCACGTGTTCCAATACAATTACCTACAAAGCAGATGATGCATCAGACTTTGTTGGGGGGCAGCTGGCTGACTCTGGATGTAGAGAGTCCAATGCATGGCCTGCCCCTGTACAGAACAAGAGGTATACATTGATAATGTCACAATTGACAGTGAAAATGAAGATGTTCTGCTCCGGGATTCAGAGGTTAATTGGTCACATTTCTACTTAGAGGAATCTCACCATCTATGACGGATAGGGTGCTGGGGGATAAGCTGGCATGAGATGAGATCTAAACAGACTGCCTTTTGTTTAAATCTGTTTAAACCCCAGTTAGTCTGGGGTTCTCTGAGTCCATATTTATACCTAACAGGGTGGCATAAATTCTGTTAGAGAGGAAAGCTAAGACCTTATCTGGAAGTGAAATTCCAGGAAGCCCCAGAAAAGATGGGTGATTTTTGTTCTCTGTGGCCCTGCCTTTCACCATAACTTTGGAAGTATGTCTGGGCCCTGCCTCTGGGGGCAGATTGGGTGCAGGCCAGAGCCAAAGACTTGACAAAAATACTTTTTTAAACTGTCACTTTGAATGATTGCTTTATATTCTATCACATGATCAAAACATAATTTATTTATCCCTTTTCATTATGCTGAGTATTTAAATTGCTTCTAGTTTGCTGTTAAAGTACTATAAAGCAATGGTCCCCAGCTGCTTTTGGGTACCAGGGATTCGTTTCATGGAAGACAGTTTTTCCACAGACCAGGTCAGGGGGATGGTTTTGGGGTGATTCAAGCTCATTACATTTATTGTGCATTTTATTTCTATTATTATTATTACATCAGCTCCACCTCAGATCATGAGGCATTAGACCCCAGAGATTGGGGACCCCTGCTATAAAGAACATGTTGCTACATAAATCATCCTCTTAAATTTGACCTATTCTATGAGTATTAGATGGGAAGAAAGCTATTTTAACATTTTGGTGTGTTTCCTTCTAGTCTTTTTATTCGGCATTTAAAAATGATTAGAATCACTCTGTATATATAATTTTATTCCACCTTTTTTCTTAGTAATATATCGTGACTATTCTCATGGTTAGGTTTTGTTTATAGATATGATTAGGTCAGCATCTGAAAGCCTGCTGTTGCTACTGCTGCTAAATCGCCTCAGTTGTGTCTGACTCTGTGCGACCCCATAGACGGCAGCCCACCAGGCTCCCTCGTCCCTGGGATTCTCCAGGCAAGAACACAGGGGTGGGTTGCCATTTCCTTCTCCAATGCATGAAAGTGAAAAGTGAAAGTGAAATTACTCAGTCGTGTGCGACTCTTAGCGACCCCATGGACTTCAGCCCACCAGGCTCCTCGGTCCATGGGTTTTCCAGGCATGAGTACTGGAGTGGGGTGCCATTGCCTTCTCCGATCTGAAAGCCTAAGGCTCTTGAAAAAAAGTGAAAGTGTTAGTCACTCAGTCGTATCCAACTGTTTGCAACCCTACAGACTAAAGCCCGCCAGGCTCTTCTGTTCATGGAATTCTCCAGGCAAGAATACCAGAGTGGGTTACCATGCCCTTCTCCAGGGGATCTTTCCAACCCAGGGATCAAACCCTCGTCTCTTAGGTCTCCTGCACTGGCAGGTAGGTTCTTTACTACTAGCGCCACCTCGGAAGCCCTTAATGAATGGTAGTCCTTCTCTCTTCTGTTTTTCTGTCACTTAGTGACTGAACTGGGCCTGGTATTTCCATCTCAGATGAGGCACTGCAAACATCACTTTCATAACTGGGGTATGATTCTTTTGTAGGGGAAGGAAGCCACAATCTCTCCAGACCTTTTGATGTTTTGTTTCTTATTATGATATGCTGGATCTTCGATCTTCATTGCGGCACGCAGGATCGTTTTTGTTGCAACATGCAGGCTCTTTAGTTTTGGCGTGCAAGATCGTTAGTTGTGTTATGTGGGCTCTAGTTCCCTGACCAGGGATTGAACCTGGGCCCGCTGCATTGGGAGCATGGAGTCTTAGCCACTGGACCACCAGGGATGTCCAGTGATTCTTAAATTATATGGTGCCTTAGAATCACAAATACTTATGGGCCCAATACTTAGGATTTCTGATTTTGTAGGTCTGGAAACTTGCATTTCTAAGGAGTTCTCAGTTGATCCTGCTGCTGCTGGTCTGGAAACACATTTTGAGAATTTCAGGCCTACAACTTTTACTACTCTTCCCATCCTTCTGACTGACTCCTCTCATCCCTCAGGTCTCAGTTTTGATTTTATTACCTCTAAAAAGTCCTTCCTAAACCTGAAGTCTAAATTAAGCATCCACCCTTTACACTTTCAAAACCCCCTGGACTTGCTTGTGCATAGAACTGATCACAGTGTCTTATGACTTGTCTGTATCCCCCATTAGACTACAACTTATTTAGAAAAGTGACCATGTCTGTCCTGTTCATGGCTATATCTTCAATACCTTGCTTAGTGCCTGATACATAGTAGGTGCTCAGTAAATGTTTGTAGACTGAATGAGTGAGCCACATCCTGGGTAGTTGGAACCAGAGCCTAGGGACTCATGAGGGTGGAGCAAGTAAAGAAGTAAGTTCTAATGGCCAGTGACCAGGCATGTCTAGGAATTCAGAACTAAGGAAATAAGCAGAAAAATGTAGGAGCTATATGTCCAGGAACTGGACCTGAGGAGCTTGGTCCACCCTCTGGGTTTTGAAAGCAGAGCAGAACCTACTATCATAGAAAATAAACAGGGACTTAAGCTTCAATTTCTGGCTAAGATGCTTGATCCGTGGATGAACCTGGAGGGCATTATGTTGTGTGAAATAGCTCAGACAGAGAAAGACCTAAACTCCTTCTGGGGTCTTTGCTGAATGACCACGCTACTTAGTGAGGTTTCCAAACTCTGCCTGATCAGACTCAAATGTGTCCCAGATCTAGGTGAGCACTGGGAATTTTCTAGCTTGCAACTTCAACCACTGATAATTTCCCAGGATTGTTGGTGAAGATTAAATCAAATAATTCACATGAAGAATATTGCAGGGGATTGTTATCAGGAAAAGGGCTTCTAGGATTCTGGCCATGTATTTTTTTTAATCTGGGTGGTGCTTACATGTGTGTTCACTATGTAACTATTTGTTAAAGTGAACATATTCTGTGTATATGTTATACATCTCAATAAACATTAAAGAATATAACATAGTGCAGACGTATAGTAGGTGCTTAATAAATGGCAGTCAACTTGATTAACTGAGATAAGATATGTAAAAGGCCTGGCACAAAATTCAGTGCACCATGGGTTCAGGATCATTTCCTGTAAGTAAATTTTTATGCAAGTATGTGTGTGCCCAGTCGCTTCGTTCATGTCCGACTCTTTGCGATGCCATGGACAGTAAGCCCACTAGCCTCCTCTGTCCATGGAATTTTCCCGGCAAGAATACTGGGATGTGTTGCCATGCCCTCCTCCCAGGGATCTTCCTCACCCAGGGATCAAACCCGTGCCTCCTGCATCTCCTGCATTGCAGGCAGATTCTTTACCCATCAGGGAAGCTCCTTGTGAAGGTATAACCTACAAAACAAAAACAAAACAACAACAACCCAAATACACAAAGTATAAGCACACAGTTCAGTGAATTTTTCTTAATGCGAACACACTGAAGTAACCAATAACCATGTCAAGAAATATAACTGAATGGTTCTTAACATAAAAGGGTATGAAATGAGATTTTTCTGATGTCTCAGAATTTTGGCCAAATGCTCAAAGCCAATAATAAATACCTCTCTCCCTTCTAAAGAACATTGTCAGACATACTTTCAGGATCTCCTAAGATATTACAGGAAAAAAAAATGGTAACAGACTTGTGGACACAACGAGGGAAGGAGATGGTGGGACGAATTGAGAGTAGCATTGAAACTATACATTACTATACGTAAAATAGCTAGCTAGTGAGAATTTGCTACATAACACCAAGAGCTCAACCCTGTGTCTGTAACAACCTAGAGAGGTGGAATGGACAGAGGTGAGAGGGAGGTCCAAGTAGGAGGGGATATATGTCTACATGTGGCCGACTCATGGTGTTGGATGGCAGAAACCAACATAACATTGTAAAGCAATTATCCTCCAATTAAAAGAAAAGAGGACAGAGCTGGTCCTGAGACTAGCAGCCTCTGCCACCCACCTCCAGCCTCACAGGGGAGTAGGATTTTAAAGGGGGCTCATTTCAGAATCTGCCTTGTAGGGAGTGATGTGGTTAAGTAATGGACTGACAAGGAATTACTGGCCCTGTGCTTCTGTAGAGCCAGAGCGTAGGGTTAAGAGAGTTTGAGGGAAGCCTGACATACAGACTCTGAAATTTGAGGTGGAAGGTGGGAATGAGGTTAGGCACTGGTGTTTGCTTTTGATCTGGAGAATTCTGAAAGTAGAAAGTGGCTGGAGAAGACTATGATGTATTGTTCAAGAGAGGGCAATAGTTTAGTGGAGCATGAATGGTGATTTCCCTGGCCAAATGGATGCTGCAGTGGATAGTGGTCTTTCAGTTGCCTGGATGGGGTCCTGTCCCAGAGGGCTATCTGCCAGGATTCCAGGAGTATGAGGAAGTGGTGGTTATCTCTGGAGGTCAGGGGATGCAAGGGTGGATTGCATTAAATTAGTCAGAGGGTACAGGACATCACCCACATCAGGGAACCATGCACAGCAAAGATACCATGGTGGCCTCTGACAAACCCACAAATGCTTCACCTCTGAAGACCTAGTATGTGACCCTCAGCCAAGTTAGTCAAGAGAAACCATAAACTGCACCAGCCGGAGTTAAAAAACCATTCCCTTCCCCTAACCGATCCTGGAAGAGCCAGAAGATGAGGTGAAACAAGAGAGTGAAATTGCAGACCACACATGCCTTCTTACCTAGTGTTGATCCCCAAGCCACAGGTCAAGCCTGAGGGGTGGAGAGCAGTGCAGAACTGGATGTGAGTTTGTTTTTTCTTTCCTTACCATGGACTGGATTTTTTTTTTTAAGGTCTCCAGCTGAGGTTATTCCTATAACCACAAGAGTCTGAAAATCTTTAAGATCTTCCTGAAATCCTGTCTAGGAACTAAAAAAAGAGATCCGGCAAGGCATGTTAAAGGACCGTGTTAGGAGACAAAGCCATTTCCTGTTTGTACCTTTTGACTTCAGTCCTGTGTGTGTGTGTGCATCAGCTGGGCTATGACAGAGTGTGGAGAATTTCTCCTCCACTATTAAAGTACACTTTTCTAGAGATTAGAATTCACTAAGTCCTGTCTCTCACCTGTGGACAGTCCTAGGTAAATACAGGTAGGTTCTCGCTCTCCTCTTTCATTATCAATCTGTATGTGAAGGTTTTCCAGATGATTCTCAGATCATTTAAAAATGTACAGTCCCTCCACCATCAGTTACATTTTAAATTCATGCCTTTCATGTATCAAAAGCATTCTGGGCCCCTTCACAGAAATTGGAGTCAGACAGACCTGTTTGTCTGTCTGCTATTATTAATTGCAGAGCCCTTCTCTGAGCCTTAATTTCCCTATCTGTAAATATGTACCTAAGATACAGACTATTAAGCAGTTAAATGCAAATATATAATAAGATAAAACACCCAAAACAGCACCTGACACATAGCAAGTGCTCAATAGATGGTTAAAATGATTAATATTGTTTTGTATAGTATCCCATCAAACTAAAGTAGATTTGTTTGATTAAATATTTTCTGTAGCCATAGTTTTTTTTTAATGTTTAAATTTTCTAAGGTTTGTTGTCTAAACTATTCAAAATAGTGGTAGCAAAAAAGCTTTGGCCCTGAATGCAAATTTCCTTGGTGCTATATTCCTATAAGTGAAATGATTAGGTCAAATGTGTAAACAGTTGTATAATAGTTGGTACTGAGAAAAACTGGACCAAATTGAAATGCAAATTTAACATCCAGGTGTATTTATTTCCAAAATCTTGGAAATAGTGATACTTTAAAAATATTTACATTTGTGATGGGTGCTGAGACCTTCTCTTTTATGTAAGGCTCCAAATTTCAGACTTTTTGTAAGTGTTTTCAATCCCCTTTGCTTAGTATATTTTTTCCCAGTCTGCATCATTTGTAGTTGGCTCTTTTTCCATTTCATTGCACTGATATATATATTTGATATATAAAAATTTACATCTTATACAAAAAGCTTTCAACATATTTGGTTCTTTAATACATTAGCAGCTTAAAATAGGGAACAGTAGGTGTTAAACACTTAATATTAATTCATTTACCAATATTAAATATTCCATAAGTGTTACTTATTTCATGTATAGTAGGTACTTCAGGTCTGGTATCATGAATCTATATCTGGGTATTTTGGGTCTTTTCCAGTAAGTCAGTTCTTCGCATCAGGTGGCCCAAGTATTGGAGTTTTAGCTTCGGCATCAGTCCTTCCAATGGGTATTCAGGACTGATTGCCTTTAGGATGACTGATTGGATCTCCTTGCAGTCCAAGGGACTCTCAAGAGTCTTCTCCAACACCACAGTTCAAAAGCATCAACTCTGTGCTCAGCTTTCTTTATAGTCCGACACTCACATCCATACATGACTACTGGAAAAACCACAGCCTTGACTAGATGGACCTTTGTTGGCAAAGCAATGTCTCTGCTTTTTAATATGCTATGTTGATCATAACTTTTCTTCCAGAGCAAGCATCTTTTTTTTTTTTTTAATTAATTAATTTATTTATTTTTTTATCACAACCATAGTGTATCTTTTTTTTTTTTTTACATGTATTCCCCATCCCGGTCCCCCCTCCCACCTCCCTCTCCACCCAATCCCTCTGGATCTTCCCAGTGCACCAGGCCCGAGCACTTGTCTCATGCACCCAACCTGGGCTGGTGAACTGTTTCACCCTAGATAATATACGTGTTTCAATGCTGTTCTCTTGAAATATCCCACCCTCGCCTTCTCCCAGAGTCCACAAGTCTGTTCTATACATAGGAGTCTCTTTTTCTGTTTTGCACATAGGGTTATCGTTACCATCTTTCTAAATTCCATATATATGTGTTAGTATACTGTAATGGTCTTTATCTTTCAGGCTTACTTCGCTCTGTATAATGGGCTCCAGTTTCATCCATCTCATTAGAACTGATTCAAATGAATTCTTTTTAATGGCTGAGTAATATTCCATGGTGTATATGTCCCACAGCTTCCTCATCCATTCGTCTGCTGATGGGCATCTAGGTTGCTTCCATGTCCTGGCTATTATAAACAGTGCTGCGATGAACATTGGGGTGCACGTGTCTCTTTCAGATCTGGTTTCCTCGGTGTGTATGCCCAGAAGTGGGATTCCTGGGTCATATGGCAGTTCTATTTCCAGCTTTTTAAGAAATCTCCACACTGTTTTCC